GAGAACCTGTGACTTCCAAGAATTTATAAATTTCTTCATGACAGGACGACAAGCCGTTTAACTGTAAAATGCATCAAAGTGTTCCCTGCAGGGCAGGTGACATGCATTTAAATGCTTTTTTCGTGTTGAAGAGCTGAGCGGCACCCCCAGTTGGCCCATTGGGAATGCTTTTCAGGTTCTCTGAAATGCACACTGTAGACGTTATAGAGGCAAATCCAAGGGAGAAACTGATACCTAAAATGCTCTTAGACTGAAAATCTCAGAACGATACAAATATTTCTAAGTCCTCCATGGCAGCTCACATATTTCAACCCGTGTTCATGGCTTCGTATTTCAGCAACAGAAAAAATACTTTGAGCACCTGTACTGTCACGCTGTCCTTTCCGCGGGAAGCATCCTGCCTCTGCCTCATGAAGGTGTGGCGGACAATGTTTGGAGCTTTTGTTCAGTTGGAAGAGCCTTTATATAAAGGAAAGCATTCGTGAAATTCCGATCCGTCAGTGGATGAAAATGGGGATGCTGGTGTGCAGGGGACCTCACTTGCCCCCTGCCCCTGAGCTCCTTGGAGTCTCCCGGAAACTACATATTTGAAAATGAATAGAATTATGTAAACAGCCAAACATTGTAATCTGGGGTCATATTTACTGGCTAAAATGGACTTCAGTTCTATGAAAATGATGTCAGAAATGCCTGTATGAGGCCAGATGTGGCGGCTTACTCCTTGGGAGGCCGAGGCGGCCTGAGCTCATGAGTGTGAGACCAGCCTAAGCAACAGTGAGACCCCATCTCTACTAAAAATAGAAAAATTAGCCAGGCAGTGTGACGAGCACCTGTAATCCCAGCTCCTTGGGAGGCTGGGTAAGAGGATTGCTCAAGCCAAAGGGTTTGAAGTACTGTGAGCTATGATGCCACAGCACTCTACCCAGGGTGACAGAGTGAGAATCTGTCTCAAAAAAAAAAATAAATAAATAAACAAAGAAGAAGGAGGAGGAAAAGGAGGAGAAGGAGGAGGAGGAGGAGATCTCTATGGATTTGCAAGGTGGTTGTGAATATTATTGAAGACACACATTTACAGTGCCTGGCACATAATGGCCCTTTCCAAGGTGAGCCCCTATTACTGCCCTTTCTGTTCCTGGTGAAACTGGAGCAGATCCCTGGGAACACTTCAGGTACAGACTTGAAATAGAATGGCATGCATGTTCTGGCCACAGCCAGAATCCACGTGAACCAGGCCAGGACCTCTAGGTGCCAGGATGGACCTGGAGCTTTTCTGTCAACTGTTAACTAGCAGCTACTGGCACTGCCTAACTCACCAAGGCCAAGTGCCCTGGGCTGCCTCTGCGGAGAGAATGTCAAATCCACTCTGCAGAAGAGCTATCCACATGGATGAAGAATAGAAAATTAAGTTATTTTGTCAGCAAGCAATTATCGTAAGCCCAGAGGTTGCCCCAAACCATACTAGGTATTTATTTAATGTGGCCCATGCAGGTTTATGGTGAAAACTCTCTATAGTGTCACCCAGAAAAATAATCTGTTTAAAGGGAACTTAAGCCAATCTAGGAAGCTAAAGCAATTACAGACCAATTAGTCTACACACAATCGTGAGGGTTCTACTTCCTCAGATCCACTGACAATTTTAAGTATGAGTTGAAAGTATTCTCCTGGAAAATGACATCTACTTTTCTTCTTCCTAATCTGTTGATTTCAAGTCTCCTTATCCTCCCTCTTTTCAAATTTTAGAACATGTGCAGAATAGAACATCCTAGGTTGTTACTACATAATGTTTACATTATTAGTGACCAAATCAAGAGCAAAAAGTGGTACAGACTAATTTGTTTTGTACAAGGCCTGAAATAGAAGAACCAACATTTGTGTGGCCTACCCATAAACGAGTCCATCATTCTAAGGAGAAATGTCTTTGGGATAGAACACAGAAATAAAACAATAATCACATAGGGAAAGTTTTGCTTAAGAAAGTCACACAAGTGAAACTTTCATTCATCGTAGAATCAATCTTGTATCTGGTCCATGGCTCTTGCTCCCCAGAATTAACACACATCGAATTCTCAGTCTGTACCAAAGCCCAAAGTTTCAGTTGTCCCTTGAAAAATGACATGTCAATAAGGCAGGTCATCATAGTTCGTAGGGGAAATATTTTTAGGGTAACAACAGCTGCTTCACAAATTAATGTTGTAGATATAATGTCTTCCATTTGGAGTCTGTGTGTAATTGCCTGTTAGCAGGTAGTCCAGCCGCTCTCCCTTGGGGCCTTCCCTTCCTGGAACTTCCCACAAAGGGGTAGGAGAGAGACCCGGTCAGGGAACGTGAGCTCAAAGAGGCAAAATCTGACAACAATCATCTTGCCTGGCTTTCCGCTCTAATTGGCTCACTTTACTCCTTAGCTCTAAAATCTGAGATGTAAAATTTTAAATATGGTAAGATAAAAATCTAAAACAATGAACCTGTCTGAAATTCTTAGTGCTTAAGGTTTTGAAGACTAAGTTGACGTTCGTTGAGTGAGTGAATGTTGGCTTGTCTGCGTGACACGTGGAGGCGTATACAGCAAACAAATCCCTAGCTCAGTGGGTTAAAGTTTCCTACTCCTTCTGTGTAAACTGGTCCTAAATAATAACATGCGAGGAAGCAAGTATTTTATTAACTGGTTGCATTTATTCTTCAACTATGCACAATGCAGAACCCCTAATTTCAGAGAACTTCATTTCTCCAGTGATGCCTTACTGTGTACCACGCAGCTTTGCTGATGCATACTCTGACTGGGCTAAAGGAAATCATGGCCAAATACAAATGTGTGCTTTTATGGAGAAATTCTTTCGGTTATCACACATTTCCTATCACTCTTCAGAGTAGCACAGTCTATGTTCAGCCAGCTCTCCATGTGCAGTGTATCTCCATGGCAGGGAGCAGGAAATGGAACCTCTGACTGCTCCCTCTCAGCTCTGAGTGTAAGTTGCTGACAGCTATTACTTATGCAACCAGGCCTGGGGATGGAATCATCTGAGTTGTCAATGAGAATTTGAGTTATTTCCTAAATAGTGACAAAGTTCCCTCAACATGGCCAGCTTTAGGAACTGTAGGGCAGGCAAAGCCAGTTCACATTATCCAGGCCCGATTGTCCAAAAAGGGTCCACAGGCTGCAGAAAATACAACTTCACGTTAAGACTTCTGGCAGCCCTACCTCGCTGGGAGACTTAAAAACATGTTTTCAAGGACCTGCTCTTATGCAAACATTTAGGCTGGTCACCCTGCCCTCCCTCCCTTCCACCACAAGAAAAAACAGTATTAAAATCATAATACTCAATGTATACCCATAACATGTGTTACCCTGGTTGTTGCATGTATCTTGTATCTCTTGTAATTGCAGAAGCCAAACATGACTTGAGCATCACAATTTGAATGCAGTTCTCTCCTATCTTCAAATGTGGACACATTTTTTGGCACCTCTGTATTTATTTCACACAGCGGTTCTAAAACTCATTTAGCTACTGAACTTTTTATTATGAAACTCACCAAATCCTGATGAATTAGAGTTCAGCAAACGTGCCTACTTGGACCAGATGATCTCTGAAATCATGCTATTTCTAAAAATTTTAAGTTCTATTTACATATCTTCTAAAACACAATACAGATCATCATACCCTTTTTGCTCAAAAATCCTCTGTGGCTCCAGGTGCCACCTGCCTGTGAAGTCCAGATCTGTTAGCACAGCACACAGATAATGGCCTTCACTCACCTTCCCAGCACTCATTAGTTCCCTTCCTTCCCATTCACAAGGCTCTGCTCCTTTCCAGCGGGCTTCCCTGTTCTCTCTTCACACTTCTGCACTCTTCCCACCTGTGTTCCTCCTCACCTTCCTCAGGCTTTGCATGCATAGTTGTGACCCACTCTGAATACTCAGTTCAAAGCATCCCCCCATGATGATTTTTTTCTCTAAATGTACCTTCTTTAGAACTTATTTATAGCTCTTATATTGGACAAGTTATAGGGCTTCTTGTCTAGAATTATCTGTGGCATTTATTTCCCCTAAATTTCTCAGGAAAAAATGGTTTGACATAAGGTTGGCTACTGCCTAGTTCCTCGCACATAATAGGTGCTTATTAAAAGAACACTCTGAAGAGTAAATGGCTGATGTGATTAAACAGGAAAACTTCCCAGGGCAGAAAGAACAGGGGTCTGATGCCAAGAGACAGCGCTGACTTTGCTATTAGCACTTAGGGGCTCCAGCTGTCTCCTTCCCTGCTGAAGGATGGATGTGCTCAGCGCTACAGAGCCAAGGGCCGACAGAGCACTGACCTTTCAGGGCTAAATATTCTGAGATTTCCTTGATACATAATCCAGTTTCTAAAGCACATGAGACAATCCTGTAGGACTAAGAATAGAGAGTAAAATAGAGCAACTAATGACAAGAAGAAGGTCTGTTTACTTGTTTTAGGGAAGAAGCAAATAATTCAAAAGAATGAATCTCTAACATTAGGACCTGAGCAAGAGACTAAAAGGAACTTACTTTTAAAATGAGGAAATCATCCTGCGTTCTCAACCCTGTCCCCATCAGTGACTGACTACATTCCTACTTACTTTTTTTAAAAAACCTTAACCAAAAAATCTTAATTGTCTAATGCTGTGGTTATCAAAATGTGCTCCAGGATCAGATATGTCAGTATCACCTAAAGCCTCTTCAGAAATATATATTCTCAGACCCATATTCCTCCTGCGTCAGGAGCCCCGAGGTGGAGCTCAGGAATCTGTTTTAACTCAGTCTCCAGGTAACAATCAGAAGTAAATGCATCACCTGTGTCTAGAGACGCTTTTTTTTTTTTTTTTT